TTGAAATTACAATAGATATCAACAGATAAAAATGTTCACTAATCTCCATCTTTGTAAAATTGTGATGAAGAGTCATGCAATCATCTCCTCCTCATTGGACGAAATATAAAAATTACTCTGTTATAATAAGACTTTTTAGAGAAATTTACATAAATCACTATCTTTTGGTGGTAATTAGCCATCTATAGATACCATTTGCTATATTACGGATTATAGATACCTTTTGTGTGGTTATAAGTCGTATTTGATGTATTTAAGCTATTGTATTCATGAATACAGTAGCAAAAATAGGTGTGAATCAGGGAAGTCCAGCTGATCAGTTGTTGTATTCGAGTGTATTCGACTGTATTCATGGAGTGAAATATGGGATTACAGCTGGACAGATTATTGTATTCAACTGTATTCGACTGTATTCACGGCGTGAAATAGGGGATTACACTGTTTTTAAAACGGAAAGTGAATCAATTAACATAATAGACTCCTAATATAACTCAACAAACTCAACTATAACACACAAATTTTGTATTTTCAGTTATAAAAAAGATTCTCACCCGAAAAATACTCCAAACATATAGCAATCTTCAGAGAAATTATATAATACATCTGAATACATAAATTATATTAATTAAAAAAACATATAAATACATTCATGGCATATATAGCGAGCTAATCTTATACAAGAGAAATTTTCATAAAGCACTATCTTTTGGTAGTAATTAGCCATCTATAGATATCATTTGCTATATTACGGATTATAGATACCTTTTGTGTGGTTATGAGACGTATTTGATGTATTTAAGCTATTGTATTCATGAATACAGTAGCAAAAATAGGTGTGAATCAGGGAAGTTCAGCTAATCAGCTGTTGTATTCGAGTGTATTCGACTGTATTCATGGAGTGAAATATGGGATTACAACTGGACAGATTATTGTATTCAACTGTATTCGACTATATTCACGGCGTGAAATAGGGGATTACACTGTTTTTAAAACGAAAAGTGAATCAATTAACATAATAGACTCCTAATATAACTCAACAAACTCAATTATAACACACAAATTTTTTATTTTCAGTTATAAAAAAGATTCTCAACCGAAAAATACTCCAAACATATAGCAATCTTCAGAGAAATTATATAATACATCTGAATACATAAATTATATTAATTAAAAAAAATATATAAATACATTCATGGCATATATAGCGAGACAGTGAATATAATGAAATACATATAATATAGCGGGATACATTGAAATACGATGAAAAAAAAAGACAGTGAATACAATGAAATACATGGAATACCACGAGATACATTGAATTACAATGAAAAACCCTAAAACCCTAATGGATCTATTCAAACAACCTGCAGCAAAGCGGCTAAAACGGGTCTCCTCGCCATCTTCCGCTGACAACTTCATTTCCAGCGCCTTGTCATCTTCATTGTCGGGTGAAGACGGCGGCAACAAAGACCCCAAAGATACAATGCTCACGTCCGATAAAAAGTCGAGAATGGAGTTCAATAAATCACTTGGAAAGGCCAAAATGAACCTCAAACTATGCTCTGATAAAATCTCCTAGTTAAACGCAAATGGTGATGGCGTAGGATATGTGAAGTTAGAGGAACTGTTGGTTGAGGAGACATGGTTGGAAGCACTGCCGGGGGAATTTCAGAAGCCCTATGCAAAGAACTTGTGCAGATTTGTTGAAAAGGATTTGATTTTGAACCAAATCCAACTTCGTTTTCTGATCAGAATCAGTATCTGTTTTTTCCCTTTAATGCATACACAGTTGTTGAGAGAAAGGAGATAACCATGGAGAAATACTGGCGTTGAGAGAGGGAAAGGGTGGAGAAAAATCTGAAAGAATGAGAGAGAAAAATAATACAAAGAGTATTTTATGGCTTAAGAGTAGGAGATAACCACAAAAAAAAATTTAGCTATAAAAATCAAAAGGTATCTATAGAATATAGTTTTTTTAAAGGGTATTTATTTAAAATAAATAAGGTATCAACCTTTGTTATAGGTAAAAATTCCTAAAATAATCTTATCCCCACAAGTGCAAAACCCAATTTTATTGGGGCAAAAAAAAAAAATCAGAAATAGCTAGATTTACAATTGGTGTTGAAAAATAGCCACAGTTTTAAAATCGAAATTTAGTCACTTTTTCATGTAAAGACAAAATTTGAACAAAAATACTCTTAAAAATCCGAAAATATTTCAACATAATATGCCGAAGTTCGAATTTTTTACATATGAGATTCCAGCATAATGTGTTGGAATTTCATAACATGTTGGAGTTCTATCGTAATATGCTGGAAGTTTATACGCATGAGCTTCATAATACAACATATTATGTTGGAACTTTCCGTGTTGCAGCAAAACAATGGCTATTTTTCAACGACTTTGCAAACGCTGACTATTTTTCAATTACCAATTCGAAAACTGACTAGCCCGTGCTATTTTTCCAATTTTATTACTAACCCAATGGCGCAGAAACGAAAAAATGAATTTGTTATCCCTTAGCCAAGTGCAGCTAAAATTTGAAGTTTATAGGTTTTGAGCTTATTATTAAATTCATAGCGTGTCTTAATTACTGAAATTATAATAAAAATACTTATATATGAATTATTATAAATATATCACTTAAAGCAAAAATTACTGGATTGGTCTGAAATGTAGCTAATATTACACTATGCCAAAATGGCGTTGTAATAAAAGAAGGCAAGTGTTTTGCTGGCATTGAAAGTGATACACGAGAATGCTCACTCTTCTTTCACGTTAATGTTTTCGTGTCACCTTGGTCCTTGGTTTGGTGACGATTTCGTTGCATTTAATTCACTCAACAAACTGCACAACTACAACCCGACAGTGTAGTTGGGCATTAATAACAAACATACATGATGTATTGATCCAATTAGGAATGACAAAGACAACCCCCGCCGGCTGTACCACCTATTTTTTGCAATTTAACTTACTATACACTATCTTTTAACTTTATTTAGGTATAATAATTTTACTCTGACTAATTTAAACTCACACTATATATGTCCTATTAAATATATCCTTTCATTCTCGGAGCCTCGCGTTACGTAGAGCCAATTAAAGGAGAAGGTTTACTACCAAGAATTTCTCTACTCTCAAAGTTCGAATTTAGAACATTTAGTTAAGGATGGAAAGAAAATCAATGTCATTATAATGGGTAGCTTGTATATTCAAACTTGTTATCTTAGGTACTCTCCTTTTTTTTCCTAGTTAAAACTTTTACTTATTCCATCAGTTTCTGCTACGTGAAGGAGAGTCTTGGCGTAACTGGTAAAGTTATTGTCATGTGATCAGGAGGTAACGGGTTTGAGCCGTGGAACAACCTCTTACAAAAATGCAGGGTAAGACTGCGTACAATAGACTCTTCTGGTCCGGTCCTTTCTCGAGCCCCATATATAGCGGAAGCTTAGTGTACCGGAATGCCCATCAGTCTCAATTATTTCAATACTCTTTTCTTTTTAGCATGTAGAATAATATCTTTTAATATTTAACCACAAAAATATCGATAACATGTTTCAGATCATAAATTTTAATAATTTTAATTTCCTTTAATTCTGTTTCTAATCAAATACCTTCAATAAATTGGACGAGAATATTATATGTGGCAGTAACATCTATATTTTAAATGATATATATATATATATATATATATATATATATATATTAAACACTCTCTTCTAACCAACTCAGTACTATTCTGTTTATATTATCTTTGTCCTGTACGTCTCTCTGCAGATTTTACAAACATGACATCCACCATTGTCAAGCAAATTCCCTACCAAAAACTCAAACAACATAGCAGCTATTTTGAAGATGAAGAAGATATGGATTTAATACACCTGAGGGAAAAAGTAATTGGTAAAATTAGGAAAAAACCCTCTTCTTTTTGGAATATTAAGTTCAGAAAAGTGCACCTGAAGAAGCGATTGAAGATAAAAGTTCCAAGTTTGAAGAAATTCTTTAGGAGAAAAGCTAGGTTCATTGTTGCTGCATTGGCTAAAACGTTAAAGAGATTGAAGGAAAGTCAGTCACATTTTGGGGATCTTTTCGCTGGGAATTATATGTTTATGCAGGTCACTCCGACTCCAGTGAAAATTTGTGCCAATTACAACAACAAATCTCCAAATCTGAAGACCATCGCTGGCCCTGATTACCTCCAAAATGGATTTTCATCATTAGGTTCGGCGAGATATTGTAATTAGTTATCATTTGTTTTAGCATCCATTAATTAGCTCGCACGCCTTGTGTTTGGTAGGACGGAAGTTGATATTAAGTGTAATTGTTAATTGGAGCAACAAGTTGTTTTCTAATCCTTTGCTTGTAATTTTTTTTGGTCCTAAACTGTTAGTGGTTAATGTTGTGATTCACTACTCTTTCGTTTTCATAGTGCCGGGTCTTTTTACTGGTTATCGCTTTTGCGTTTCATCTATTTTTTGGTCTTTATGATGTTGTTATTATTCATATGGTCTCTGTTGGTGGTACTGATATTGTCTCTTTTTCGTCTTCTTGGGCCGAGGGTCGTTCGGAAACAGCACCTCTATCCCTCGTGATAGGATAAAATCTTCGTACACACTACCCTCCTCAGACAATTGTGCGTGATCATTATTGTTCTGGCATATTTTGGTTCTGAGAAATATGAATGAAACAGGATTATAATTAATTTATCCTAAAACTAGACCAGATGATGATTGTAATAGTGATTAATTACAACCTTTTGGATAAATTGGATAATTAAAGCATGCGACAGACACCAAGCAGTTACTGTTGGGAGTTGGCAAAAGTAATAGTAGCTCCACAAAACTCTAGAAGTTTGACTGAGCTGCATTCTGCAGCCAAGAATTAAAAGTATGCAAAGCTGCCTCCTGTTGTGACATCAATGAAACACTGTAAGTAAGTTGGGGTTGGCGATATGAATTCTTTTTCCTTTTATTTAGTTCAACTCATTATCATATTACGGAAATCATTTGGAACGCTTCTCTAAGAAGAAAAACGGCAACAACCATCGTTGGGATAGGAAATTGCCAATGCATTATCGATCTATTTCTTTGATAGAAAAGACTGCATAATCCTATCTTTGAGAGCTAAAATAAGGGAGTCAATCGTTAACCATAAGAAGCAGGGGATGAGAAAAAAAAGACAGGAATTTTGATATAACCTTATGCTACGTTAGGGTCTGGATCATTTGTGTGATACAACTCCGCAAATTGGCATATTAATCATCTTCAACTTGTAGCGATTTTCTGAATGCGCTTCCCATGTTATCCGCAAAAAATTAAGTGGAAAAAATAGTTCATTTGTATAACAGGCAGCCAAGCCAGAATAAATAAATAATTATAATAACAAATTTCAGTGCCTGCATAAAGAACCCGACAAAGGTCATCTTCAAAAGATAAATGGATAGATATTCCAACATAGTTTTATAATCAGAGACGGAATTATGACTATAAGTTTATCAATTTTGGATTCTAAAAAAGATGACTTATTGGATTCTGAATAAATTACTTGATATATTAAGTAATTTATTTTAACACAAATACAATGCCGAAGCGGCAAATTCGAACTAGTTTGACAAATGAATTTTCTGATACCGGTTGTTTAAAATTTAAGAAAAGAAAAATGATTGTTGGTAGTTGGCACAGACTTGCCAACAGTACCCGGCGGTATTATTGTTGTAAATTAAGAGTCCGTCAAATTATATTTAGTTCCACAGAATACACAAGTAAATAACATAATAATATTTTGTGTGGAAAACTCCCAGCTCACGGGTTAAAAATCACGACCTACACTCGTAGGATTTCAATTTCACTAACTGAGCAACTTTAGATTACAACACCTACTTGCATTAAATTGAAAGTCTCTTTGTAATAACTCTATTGCAAAGCAACAAACTTTGACTAACTCTAGTCAAGAAACTAAACCAAACAGCGGTTTAAATCTGTTCTAAAAAGACACTTCTTGAAAGTAGTGTAGGATTACAAATAGGGCAGCCCGGTGCACTAAGCTTCCGCTATGCGCGGGGTTCTGGGAAGAGCCTGACCACAAGGGTTATGCAGCCTTACCCTGCATTTCTGCAAGACGCTATTTCCACGACTCGAACCCGTGACCTCCTGGTCACGTGGCAACAACTTTATAAATTATGTCAAGGCTCCCCTTCTATGTAGAGTTACAAATAAAGAGTGGTCCTTTAATCTTTGGATATCTTTAGTTACAAATAAATAACAAAGACTCAACAAACCTAAGGACTTAAGATATCTTTAATCTTTTGATCTGGTCCTTGAGGTTGCATTAGCTTTGTTCTTGAGAGTGGTGGTGACTAGCACTTAGAGAATATGATTTTTGGAGTTGCAAGTGTTAGGCCAATAAATCCCTTGCCTCATGTTGATAATATGTGTGTGTGAGGTCATCAAGGATGATGCAATAAAGTGCCATTTAGTTTGGCCTTAGCAAGCTACAGCTGTGCTGCTGTACTGCTACCAGACGGTATGGTGCAGTTGTCTGCCAGAAGGTACAGTGTAATAGCTTTTACAGCTGTAGAGTTGACTGCACGACGACCAAGGGAACTGATCCCTATATGTTCCCTCTGCTGTTTCCTTATATGATTTCATTAAGAATTGAACCAAATATGTGATTAGTTACTCTAAAATGCAAAGATATTAATTGTATCAAATTTCTTATCAGGTTCTCTCGTGAAGTTTGTCAAAACATAACAAAATACGTAGTGTATAACTTATCAATTATTTCTACTATCGTTTGGAAATAGCCACTATCATTACCAGTATTAACATACATTTTTTTTGAATTGCCACTATCTAGTCGGGAAAAGAGGGAACTACTTGCTTGGGTATGGTAATTATACTTTCTTTTAGATATTCAATATATTGGAATAAGTACTGTAGTAGACCCTTAAAATGAAGAATTCTTTGTGCATACACGTCAGAGAAATCTGTTGCTCTAAAGTTTAAAACACATGTACATATATAATAGTATTCGGTATATATGTACATATATACGGTGGAAATCGGGGCCATTCGATTTCGTTCTTCGATGGAAAAGGCGATACCACATCGAGAGGCCAGGATGCCTGATAATGACCCGGCCGGTCATTTCATTAGTTACAACCCCGTTTTTTCCCATTTTTTCTCCCTTATGTGTTGTTCAGTTGTATTGGATCATATCGTGTTGGTTGTGTTGTGTTCGGAGCGGTCTTAGAGTGGAAGTAGACACTTAGTCTCTTAAGTTGGTTTTTTAGTTGGAAAAGTCAACCGGAAATTGACTTGTGGGTGAATGATCTCGGAATTGGGTTTTTATGGCTTGGATAACTTCTTTAGGTGATTTGGGACTTAGGATCGTGATCGGAATGTATTTTGGAGGTCCGTGGGAGATTTAGGCTTGAATTGGCGAAATTAAATTTTGGCGTTTTCCTGTTGACAGTGGAAATCTTGATATCGGGGTCGGAATGGAATTCCGGAAATTGGAGTAGGTCGGTTTTGTCATTTGTGACGTGTGTGCAAAATTTCAAGTAATTCGGATGAGGTTTGATAGGTTTTTACATCGCTTGCGGAATTCGGTAGTTTTTGAAATCCTTAGGCTTGAGTCCGATGGTGATTTGATGTTTTGATGTTGTTTTGAGTGTTCTGAAGGTTGGAACAAGTTTGAATGGTGAAATGTGACTTGTTGGCATGTTTGGTTGAGGTCCCGAGGGCCTCGGGATGGATTATGGTTGTCGGAAGGTTTAGAGTTGAATTGGAGTTGCAGATTTTGCTACTTCTATTGTTTCCTCACCTGCGGAGTGGGGACCGCAGGTGCGATGATCGCAAGCGCGGGGAGATGACCGCAGGAGCGGATATTGTCGCAGGAGCGGAAGGTTTAACCGCACCAGCGAGCCCGCAGGTGCGTGGCCTGGAGCGCAGGTGCGGAAGCTGGCTCCTTAAGTGAAATTCGCAGAAGCGGATATTTTGCCGCAGAAGTGGTAGCGCAGGTGCGCTTATGGGACCGCAGGTGCGGAATCCCTGGAGCAGAAACTATAAAAGCTTCCCTTCGCGATTTTCAGCCCTTAGTTCACCATTTGTGTTCGGAGTTGGAGCTTTTTGAGAGGAATTGAAGAGGGATTCGAGGGGTAACGCTTGGAGGTAAGGTTTTTGAACTCAATACTCGATCCGATGGTGATTTCTAACTGATTAGACATGAAATTAGTGGGATTTAAGGGTTAGGCTTGAAATTGGAGAGTTTAAATTGGGGATATGAGGGGCCATTTGGGGTCCAATTTTGATGATCTTGGTATGTATAGACTCGTGGGAGGATAAGGATTCTAGTGATGTGATTTTTATCAGATTCTGAGGCATGGGCCCGGGGGTCGGGTTTGGCCAATTTCGGTTTTTTTATGTAATTTGATTATTTTCGCGTGGGCTTTGTTCTTTTAGCATATATTGATGGAATGAATCTGATTTTGAATAGATTTGGGGCGATTTGAGTTTGAGTCGAGTGGTAAAGGCATCGCAAAGAAGATTTTCATCCGGTTTGAGGTAAGTAACTTTTGTAAATCTAGACTTGAGGGTATGAAACCCCGGAATTTCGTACTATTCTGATTAATGAGGTGACACACATGCTAGGTGACAGGCGTTTGGGCGTGCACCCGTAGGGATTGTGACTTGGTTTGTCCCGAGGCAACTGTAGAGTTGTATATTTTGATAAACTCTATGTGGTATTTATGTAGTTAGAAATGATTTTTGTTAACTCGGGCTAAATGCCATGTTTGGGGCCTTATGCCGTGCTGTTTGGACCCTCAGGGGAATTTTGCTGTTATTTTCACATTGTTTTGATTGGGAGCATTATCCTCAGTAATGGTTTATACCTGCTTATTGTTAAAAACTTGTTCCTCACTCTATTTTTAATATCTACGAAAGTGTTTTGGGCTTAGTTCCCTGAGTTTGCACTGAGATGCCCGAGTGGCTTGTGAGGCTGATGAGTAAGTGAGGCCGAGGGGCAGATTGTGAGGATGGATATGGGTCGGGCTGCACGCCGCAACATTATTTATATACATATATATATGGATCGGGCTACACGCCGCATCGATATGTTGGATCAGGCTGCACGCCGCAGCGATATAGCGCTTGGGCTGTAGGAGCCCCTCCCGAGTCTGTACACCCCCAGTGAGCGCAGTCGGCTATATACTTATGGATCGGGCTGCACGCCGCAACGGTTATTATGAGATATCTATTGAGCTTGAGTGCTGAGTGTGAGTGCTGAATGATGATAATTGAGTCATGAGTGACCGAGAGGCTGAATTTTTATGGAAAATACTGTATTTGCTCTTCTTTATACTGAGCCTCTATTGAAAATATTGAATAAATGTTTTAACAACTTTTTCATTGAAACTGGAGTTTTAACTAGATGTTCAGAGTTCACCT